TAGAGGATGCTTTACTCCAAAAATATCAGAAGTTTCAGTCAAATTGGGCCTAATTTGTAAATCCTGGCTTATAATTGAAATAGTGCCAAAACAACACAATTTCTTTAAAAAATCGTAACTCCTCATCGAAAACCGGTAGCTTCTGTAATTTTGCACACCGTATAGAAGAGGCTCAGCTCTGAAAGCTCTATTAACTTAGTTTATATAGCGTGAAACCTGACTTTTTCCTGCCCTTATAAAAATAGGGTTAAAAATGGACAACTTCACTTCACTGCACCCCTTTTTGAAAAATATTGTCTCGTTCAATCACTAGCAGCTACCAAGTTTCAACTAGCGCACCCTATAGCAGAAATGTGACTCTATAAATCGTTAAAGTCTCTTTCAATTTTCTGGTTAAGCTGAATGTTGCCAAGTCTGTAAAAGCTGGTCTAAACATGGAAGCTTGCACTCAACATTGCGCTGTTTCTAAAAATTCGTAACTTTTAATTCAGAGCAGGGATAATTCTTAAACTGGCACACCCTATAGAAAATAGTTACGTTTACAAATGCTGAAATTTTTGTTCGAATCGCAGTGCATTCGAATTTTTGCGGAAAATTTCCTGAAGCTTCTGTAATTGCTGGTCTAAACATTTTTTTTGCCTTTTTTAAGACAAATGTCGTTTTTAATAATAGAAACTGTTATTTTTAGCCACACTATAGACGATACTCCAGTCTAAAAATCCACATAATTTTCGTAAAATTGCATCAAAGGCTGATTTTTGCCAACTTTGTTTTGTAAGTTCTGGTTTAAAAATGAAAGTATTTCCCTAATAATAAGCCTTTGAAAAATTCGAAACCTTTTATCCAAAGCCGGTAGCAAATAGAATTTGGCACACCCCATAGACGAGGTTTGACTCTAAAAACTCGAACAATTTAATTAAAATGTCTGAAAAAAGTTTATTTTTTTTGCGTTGTTTAAATGCGAGTTTATAAATGGAGGCCGTACTAAAGTGCACATCTTTCTTCAAAAAATCATCTCGTTTAGTTCATGACAGAGAGCATGTTGAAACTTGGGCACCCTATAGAAGACACTTGGCTCTATAAGTCATGGAAGTTTTTTTTGAAATCGCTCTTCAATCTGAATTTTTACCACTTGACTAAATAATGCTCGAAAACTGTAAGTTTTCACTGAAGTTAAACCTATTTTTTTATATTTTCTTTGAATCTTTAGCAGGTAGCAACTTGCACACTTTACAGAAAATACCTTGGTCTAAACATCCTCATAATTGCAGTGAAATCCCGTGAAACGCTGAGGTTTGCTAACTTTGTAAGTTCCGGTATAAAAATGAAAGTGTTTCCCTAATAAATAAACGTCTTTGAAAAACTCGTAACATTTTATCTAGAGCTGGTGGGAACTGTAATTTGGCACACCCTATAGAAGAGGTGTGGCTCTAAACATTCGAACAATTTAATTAAAATTCCGGGGAAAAGTTGATTTTTGTACTGTTTTAATGCGAGTTTAGAAATGGAGGTTTCTACTAAATTGCACATCTTTCTTCAAAAAATCGTCTCGTTTAGTCCATGACAGAGCACAAGTTGAAAGTTGTGCACCCTATAGAAGACACTTGGCTCCATAAGTTATAAAAGTTTTTTTTGAAATCGCTCTTCAATCTGATTTTTGCTCACTTGACAAAGTAATGCTGGTCGAAAACTGTAAGTTTTCACTGAACGTAAACTTATTTATTAATATTTAAAAAAAATCTGGACCAGGTAGCAACTTGCACACTTTATGGAAGATACTTTAGTTTAATAATTCCAATAATTGCAGTAAAATTCCGAAAATTGCTGATTTTTGCCAACTTTATAAGTCTCGGATTAAATATGAGATAAAAATTCGTAACTTTTTATCCAGAGCCGGTAGCAACTGGAATTTGGTACACCTTATAGACGAGGTGTGACTCTAAAAACCCGAACAATTTCAGAACAAAATAAATCAAGACGATGACTTAATAGTCGAAAGCGCTAGTCCAAATGTACCTTTGAAGGCTAGAAAAAGGCCAAAAATTACAAAATTCAATACAAGATTCTTTGATTGAAAAAAATGCTAGTTTCATAATTTCATGGAGTAGAATTTTTTAGATTTCGACCTACTTTCACATTTCCATTTTTTCTAGCATCTGAAAAACAGCCCGTTTAAGCCTCCCTTTAAAAAAATGTCTGGTACATAAATTCATCATGAGGAACCTTTGAGATTCTGACCAATTTTCACTCCATAATTTTTGCATCAAACTCGAGTTTCCAATTTAAAAAGGCAATTTTTCATAAAATATCCAGCATGTCAGAAACTAATCGGTAGCTACTAAAAGCTAGTAGGGTTGATTCATATACAACAGAATTCCTACCCCAATTAAATTGTGCAAATCCTTAAGTTGTCCATCCGCAGTAAAGTTCATCGGCAATTCCAGCCCTTTAGCTCTCATCCGTTTATCCACTTTATCCAATTCCAAGAGCCAAATTGCCGGAACAATGCTGGCCAAATAAAGAAACACTGAAGGACAAAACCTGGAAAACTCAACATAATTATCGGAACGAAAAACCTTCTTGGTGGTTTATAAATGGAGAAACTTCTATTGAACTTTTCTGTTCAAAGTCAGTGGGCTAAAAGCCCGGAAACAATCACAATACATTCGCAAATGGGCCGGAAATCCACTGCTAGGCAAACCATCGCTTAGGCGAATCGCGTCAGTGGATCATCAATATCGCTGCTGTCGCTTTACAACCGGCATATTATTCAGCAATATTGAGCAATAAGAAAAAATATGCTTGTTTCAACCCGAAGAAATCCCTGAAACTTCCCTAACACCTACTTTTATCGTTTTACCCCCAAAAGCGCATCTCACAACAAAAGAGCGCATTTTCCGCACTGCACTCACACACTCACCATTTCCACTCCTGGTTCTTCTTGATGGTCAACGTGAAAATGCCCTCGAAGAAAAGCAGCAAAATTGGCGAGCTCAGGTACCAGTAAAAGGAGTTTTTCTTGAAAATCGTCACTTGCCAGATACCCAAAAAGCCGTGGGCCGCAAAAACAACTCGCGTAAATATCGCCTTAATTGTGGCCACAAAACGCGCCATGGCAGCTCGAATTCCAACAGCCGAAGAGTTTCATTCCATCGGTGGTGCGCAACCGATCAGGGAAACTCAATGGAAAGTGGAAGGTTTTTTTTTTTGAATTATTCGCGCGCTCTCCATTGCCGATATGATATTCGCCATTCAAGGGACATCTATGGGTTCATCCGGAAAAATATTGTATTTTAACCCAGTTTAGATTCGCCTTTTAGTGGAGAAATTAGAAATCCGGTCAAATCGGAGGGAATTGGGGATTAAAAAAGAAGCACGCACACTATTAAAATTGAGATTTTTAGAAGTTTGGGGAATTTTGAAAAAATTATTGAAAAATACTAATTCATTGCTACTTTGTACGCATTATAAATGAAGACTTTTCTACTCCAACAACTTTAAGTTTCAGCCTTTTAACTACGGTAGTTTGTTATTTATAACTTTTTCAAGACAAACGCGCACATTTAAAAATGCAGTTTACACATGAAATTTTCCAAAATCGACGGAAATTCCTAACTCACTACTGTTTATTCTACATAAACAACAACATGTTCTTTTACCCAAATTCCCAATTTCAGCCCTTTATACCGCAGTTGTTGCAACTTCTTAATTTTTAAAGACTCTTTCGCTCAATTGAAAGTGCAATTTTTAAACGAAAGCTTGTCGAATTCACGAAGATCAATGGATGCTTCAAATTCATGCTATTTTGATTGGAGCCTCGCTTGAAAAAATTGCGAATTTCAGCACTTTATTTTCCGTAGCTCGCAACTTACGAATTTTTTCAAATAAACGCGCGATAATTAAAAAAAAAATGTTTTTAGATAGAAGTTTGTAAAATTCTCAAAACTCAATCGATACTCCAAATGCACTGCAAGTACACACAAGGAACACTTGAAGCATTTTTAGGAAAAATTTCCATTTTTAGCTGAATCTGGCATACTTTACAACTACGGCAATTAAAAAAAAACGCGTACAATCAAAAATGCAATTTTTAGATGAAGCTGATGAAAATTCGCAAATTTTTTTACCTAAATGCAGTCAATAATATTTAAGTAAAAAAATTGCGCAAAAAAAATTTCCGCCCAAGTCCTTTTGCGCCGTTGCCAAATGCTGCTCTCAACCGTAACTTCCGTAACATAACCTCGCATTTTTGGCAGCAATCACCTGACGTTTCTAACATAAATAACAACAACCAACTAGTAATCTTTCCACAGTAATTTTCCATCTCCTGGCTGACAAAAAAGGATCTAATACCTTCCCACTAACGCGTTACAGTTGGTAACATGTCCCCTATTAACTGGTGAAAATGGAGCCCCAAACCACCGCCTGGGCCAGCCTAATTGTGATACTTCTCCTAAGTAGTTTCGGTGTTTTTGGATTACTAACAGTTCTTGCTGGCATATCAGTGTTTTTCGTTGGGTAAGTGCTGAGCTGGACGCGCCCTGGCACTGCGGCAATTTCAAATTTCAGGGCGTTTTCGCTCCTCTACTTAAAGCTGGGAGATATCGAGTCGTTCTATGCCAAATGCGCTGGCAATCCGCTCACGACTAATCAGCAGAGCGATGGAGGCCTGAAAGCCATCAAAGCAGCCCTGTCGAGCCCAAAGAAAGTGCCAAAGTCCGATAATCGAGTAACAGGCAGTGAGCTGATCGACAGCTCGTTACAAGAGATTCTCGGCTACATAATCAGGGACTACATTGAACCCTGGTATCGCCTAATCTCTATGGACTCGGAGTTTCCTCAGCTGGCCGTCAGGCAGACCGCTCAAACGTTTGCCATCAATATTTCCAACAGGTAAAACTTTCTTTTGGCCCTTTTACTCGGGCTAACACTTCCTCCACTTAGAGTAAAGGAGGTTGATTGGATCCCATACCTAACTCAAAGACTGGTGGACGATGCTGCCACTCATTTGCGCCTGTACAAGCAAGCAAGGGCCAAGATGAAAATCCAGGAAAAGCAGCGCGAGGCTCGAAACTCGCCTGCAAAGGACGCAAGGGCTTCGCCCAAAAAAACCATCCACAAGCGACACAAAAGCGAAACCGACGTAAGCTGGTATAATGGAAAAAGCTCCGACTTCGGACGAGGTAATCAGTTAAGCACCGCCATCCAGAAGCCTTTTACAAGCAAGTGGCTTTCAGATGTGGGAAATTCAAAGTTCTTTTCACCGGAGGCCAAAGAATGCACGCTAGAGGAGCATTTCTTCAATTTGGAGCTGCAAATGGAGAAAAATCTAATTTCCAGACTGGTAGTCTGCACTGATGTGGCAAAAGAAAAAGGTTCCACTTCTAACTAGAGTGCGTCTTATAATCATTCTTACTGTTTACGTATTGTAGAATTCCTGTGCGAAATTATGGAAGTGTTGCTTTACATCCTGCTACCAGACGAAGACTTTCAGTGCAAGCCCTTGCGGTATTTGCTGCGCGATATTTTCTCAAATGGCGTCATTTTGCCACTCTTTAACCTGGTGGCTGATCCTGACTATATCAACCAGGCAATGCTTTGGATCGTATGTTTGTCCTCTATCCTTTACCTTGTCCATTATCCTTAAGGTTTCAGTGTCTGCGAAACATGCCCATATCCAGCGAAATGTTCCTGACAACTTTGCGGCTGACTGAAAGCCCGGAGGAACTGAAAAGTACCAAAGAGTTAGTCGAGAGCGAAATACACAACTTAGTAAGTGGCCTGCACGGCTTCGAAAGGACTTGACTGAAGGAAATAATTGTAGAGATCCAGGGATGCAGGTGGAGAAGACCTGGCAGTGAAGCAGCAGCTGAGCAGTCTGGCTTATGTGGTGAAACTCATCGACTCCAGGTTAGTGAAGATGGAGACGTCCGGCTGCATGGACGAGGCCCTTCCTATGGACAAGATCCCGAAAATCGACCTAAGCCTTGAGCAAATTCTGCAGGACAGCCTGGGGCTGTCCTATTTCATGGACTTCGTGTCCAGTCAGGGCAGGCAACTGGATTTATTCTTCTACCTGAACATCGAAGGTAAACCCGTCCTTTTTTGACTATGCTGCGCTTCAAACCCCAACCGTTCCAGGATGGAAAGATTCCCTAAAAAAGGAGCTACTCGAGGTTCAACAGCCGTCAGAAACCGCTTTGTTGGTATGCGAAAAGGCACGATGCTCAGCCCTAGGAATCTATGAGCAGTACTTAGGCGGCAAAGAGGAGCGAGTGAACATCAGCGAAGACATTGCGCAAAGTTTGCACTTTAAAATCAGGAACCTGAACGAAAAACCCCACGAGTTCTGGTTCGATAAAGTGAAGAAAGTTATGTTTGAGAAAATGGAGAGCGAATGCTTAGCGGCGTTTAAGAGAAGCAAAACCTACATCAAGATGCTGCATGAGCTGGATTTGGTGCCGCAAAGCATAGCTGAGGAGGACAGCGTCAGCTTGAACAGCATTGAAAGCCTGGAAAAGGACAACAGTATGGGCGAAACCCTAAAACCGAATAAATCCACCGCTAATCTGCTAGCGGTGGAACAATCACCCAAACTGGTGAAACATGCTCGGTCATTTAGCGATGTCACTATGTTTAAGGGGGCGGAAAATGGACAGTCGTTGTTTAACCCGCATCTTGCAGCGCCTGTGGACGGTGATGCGGCCAGCTTCAGCTCGAAAACTGAGGCAGAGAGTCTGAAAACCGGAGAATACGGATTAGCTGTGAATATCATAGAAACTGGTAAGAAGGATTGAGATTTTAGGAGCTACAAATGATCAAAACGGGGCCGGTTTTAGGTATCGTTTGCGAAAAGGGTAAAACTTTTGGAATCTACGCCATTAGGGTGAGCAGGCAGTATTCGTCAGGGTATTTGGAAGAGTGGCACATTTATAGGAGATACAGCGACTTCTATGACTTGCACATGAAAGTTAAGGAAAAGGTATGCAGATTGAGCATTGAGAGTTTTGGTTGGTAGCTTTGAATATTTTTTTCACAATTGGTATAGAAATTTTTAGATGGATGTTTGGAAATTTCCGATAAATCAATGGAAAGTTCCACTTCATTGTTATTTTGTCCCCGTTACAAGTAAATGCCTTTTTTTATTTGCCAATTTCAGCTCTTTATCTGCCGATTTTTGTAACATAAATTTTTAAAAGCAAACGCGTTTAATTGAAAAAAAAAAAATGATTATTAGAGAGAAGTTTCTGGATTTAGAAAAAAACAAGGAACATTCTGAGTTTAGTGCTGTTCCGCAAACTTTTCAACTGAACCCGTTTTTATCCGAATTCCAAATTTAAGTTCTTTGTTTCAGGTAGATTGCAACTTATGTAATTTTAAAGACAACCGTGCACAACTAAAACTAAGTATTTTATGCAGGAGTTTGCGGATTAAAAAAATCAATTAAAATTTTGACTTTTTTGCTGTTTCTTCTACGTTACAAATGGTTACTTTTTTATGCAAATTGGAAATTTCCGCCGTTTATCTGCTGTAGTTTATTACTTATGAATTTTTAAACAGAAACGTGCACAATTGGTATAGACATTTCTACATGGATGTTTGGAAATTTCCGATAAAACAATGGAAAGTTCCACTTCATTGCTATTTTGTCCCCATTACAAGTAGATGCCCTTTTTCATTTGCCAATTTCAGCTCTTTATCTACCGATTTTTGCATCTTATGAATTTTTAAAAGCAAACGCGTACAATTGAAAAAAAAATAACTATTAGAGAGAAGTTTCTGGATTTAGAAGAAAACAAGGAAAATTCTGAATTTAGTGCTGTTCCGTAAACTTTTCAATTGAACCCTTTTTATCCGAATTCCAAATTTAAGTTCTTTATTTGAGGTAGATTTCAACTTATGTAATTTTAAAGGTAACCGTGCACAACTCAACCTGCGTATTTTATGCAGGAGTTTGCGGATTAAAAAAATCAATTAAAATTCTGACTTTTTTGCTGTTTCTTCTACATTACAAATGGTTACTTTTTTATACAAATTGGAAATTTCCGCCGTTTATCTGCTGTAGTTTATTACTTATGCATTTTTAAACAGAAACGTGCACAATTGGTATAGACATTTCTACATGGATGTTTGGAAATTTCCGATAAATCAATGGAAAGTTCAACTTCAATGCAATCCTGTCCACATTAAGAGTAAATCATCATTCCTGAAAGTTGCAAATTTTGGCCCTTTACTGCCGTTCTTCACGCCTTGTGAATTTTTAAGGACAAACG